CCGCCGATCCGCCGATTCGCCGATTCGATTTACGTCATTCAATTCGAGCGTGCAAAGTAGCTAACAATTTGCTCTGCACCTTTTTAATTGCAACAATGTAAATATTGTATCACAGTGCGCGGGGGTGCTGCGCGGGCGCCATCTATCGGCTAACTGTTGTTGACTCATGCTCGTAACACTCTCTTTTGTTTGATTTACTTAGTGTCTATGGAGTGGACTAAAATAGCTAATGCACTTGTGTTAACATATGCTTGGACTTGATAATACACTGAGAGAAATTGAGTATTTAATATAGGCTAAAGCTGCAGTAAATGTGTATATTATATAAATAAATGTGATATATACAGCTGCGGTCAAGAGAATAGTTGAGCGAATGAGCGCTAAATGTTGGGCGTAACAAATTAAAAGTGAACTCAATATTTTGCAAAGAATGTGAAACTAATATTAAGATTGAAATGTACTTATATATGTTATTATTTTATATGTTGATATTTAATTGATCACTACATTTATTGTATGACTGAATAAAATTTAAAATATATATATATATATTTTTTTTTTTCGTATAATAATTGAATACTATATTCTAATGTATAATAGTTTTATAATAATATTAGTAAATATTAAAATATACAGTTTATTTATATTCATTAGCTCGCCTTACTCAGAAATAAATTTCCAGTGCCAACCGTTTAAGTCTTCACCACGAAGTTATATATTAAGCTGTAATCACTGTAGATTTTTAATGGGAATTCTTTTTGCTTTTTTAACTACTAATCGTTGCTTTGTCAGTGCGCATTGTTTGTTAAATAAATTAAATGGCTTTGCTCATGGCATCACACAATAGAGCAGCATTTATAGCAAAGTCAATTACGAATTGGTTTGGGATGTGGGTGTGCGCGTGTGTATGCGCATTAAACCACAGCTCAGACACACACACACAAACACTAACGCACACACATGCATATAAATGGCACATAAAAAGGAAATTAAATTAATATTAAGTTGAACTCTTTCTGCCTTGAGTGCGTTCAACTTTATAATTCAACAAGTGGCCCTTGGCACTCTGCATATTTTTTACTTCATATATTTACTTCACGTTCATGCATTAATTGGCTAAATAAATGCTAAAGCCACACCAACTTTTCTTATCGGCATATTCAATTTCATTGATACCCGCGCACATTCTGTGTTGTTTATCTTTTTGGTGTCGGATGCGCAATTTGTGCTGATAATGATTTTCTGTTTAGCTAGTGATAAATGAATAAACAAAAAAAAACCGTTTTTATTTAGCTAGCGCCTATACAACACAGACATTTCGATACGCTTATTTTGCCTGTAGGTGTATGAGCCGCGCTCTCTGTTGCATGAAAATTGCTTAATTAACTATGCATTACGCGTTTATTTTATTTGGTTTCTTGAGCATTCACGGTCACAGCTTGAAGGTTTTTATTGTTATTGGCTCGAAACGTTTCAACGAAACCCCACAAATCTATATATGTATATAGCTTATAGGATATTAATATTAACCACTTGGACATTTATAAATGAAATACACTAACCGATTAATTGTTAACGGAAGCTAAAGAAGCCGCATCGAGCAACAGCCGCTTCGATCGTTGCCCGTTTCGCGTACGAAGTTGTCGAGCGTTGGATGTGAAATAAGAAACCGAAAAGGCGCGCGAGATTCAACTGGTCGCACAAGTGTTGGTGAACGCGACGCAAACTGCGGCTTGGCAGCACTCATCGATAGCTGCGCAACGCTGCGCATATCGAAAGCAGACTCATCGATAGTGTCTGCCATTGAGCAGTATCGCTACGATTGGCTCGCTCTGAAAATAAAGTGCAATATTTTTTCGCGAAAAGTGCAATACATATATAGACCGTTTGCGGATCTGTGCTACAAAAAATGTCGCTGACTATAGTGAAATATCGAAAAACAGCTGATGGCGTTCAGCCCATTACGCCCACCATGATATTTAGACCTAAAATTGAAGTGCAGCAACAGCAAGCTGTCAAGGTATAGCACACATATCTATATACTAACTTAATGCTACCACAAACAGCTGTTTCGAGGCGGTCCGGCAACGCACTGGGCGTTCTGATTACATTTAAGGAATATTAGAATACAATTTGTGTATTATTTTATTGAAACTGAAACTGAACAATGCATTACAGAAGATAGCAGGCGGCAGCATTGCGCTCGGCAAAATACCTGCCGGAGCTATCATCAGGACAAGCATGAAACGAGCCTCGACCAGCGCCACAACTCCAGGTTTATCTAATTTGCCTATTATTGTAAGCACGACTTACATTACCAAGTTCATATATCTTCCGTAGCATCTGCGTTGGTAAAGGCCCCCAAGTTTGTGAACCAATCGAGCGGCTATGGCAGCTCATCTTCTCCCACGCTCTCCTGGCAAACGTCCTCACCGTTGATCAACATTAGAAAGGAATCTTTAGGCGCTGCAATTAGTTCACTGCCGCCCAATACGATTATAAAAGCAACCACCAGACAGCCGTTAGCCACGTCCAATAGCCCAGCTACGGCTGCAGGCGCAATGGCATCAGCTCCAGCCGCTGCGCCCGCAGTCACGTCTGCCGTGCGTCAGGCGGTCTTCCTGAAACGCGATATGCCCCAGCGTACGATGCGCAGCATGACTCTGGGATCCATTGACATGGCACCCACATTGCACTTGGGCGTATCCAGCGCCCATTTGCCGCTGTTCAAGCGCCACATATGCAAATACGCAAATCTCTCACATCTCGACTGCTGCATAGCACTACGAAAGCTGCGCCTCAACGAGCCCTTTGCACTGCTCGCCGAATTCTTCGAGCTGAGCGAGCTGGAAGTGGAGCAAACCTTTAAGCATACGATTGTCAAGCTGGCACGCTGCCTGCGACCCCTGATTCGCTGGCCCGACGCCAAGCACTACTCTGAGCGCCTGAAGCATATGCCGCTGGCGTACAGAGCGAACATGTTGCATGTGCGATCGGTGATCGAGTGCGTGGAGACGGATTTGAGCGAGAAGCTGAACTTTGGCTGCGGCAGCTACAAGTTTATACTGTGTCTCAACACGAATGGTGAGTGGTTTAACGACATTTGAGCTATACAGCAATATAAGTGGACATTACTCTTTAGGTATTATAAGCTATGTCTCGGACACCTATCGCGGCGACTGCGATGATCTGCAATTGTTTGAGGCTAGCAACTTCAAGGATGTCATTCCCAAGTACCTAACACTGTGCGCAGAGCCAGGCCAAGCCGTCAAGCGCTTGCCCAAGGCTAATGCTGACGATATCCTAACAGATGAGGAGTACGAAGCACAGGACGAACAGGAGCCCAAGCCCATATTTAGCAAATATGATGAGCAACGCCTGGCAGGTCAACTAGCCAACATGCAGTCACTCTCCGTCTCGAATGGAGCGCTCACCTCCACGCGTGCACCACAGCTGCAGCTGCCCACGCTGCGCGTGAATGAGCCCGCCTGTCGCTCCCAGCTGCGCCAAGCGATCGACACACTGCGAGAGTTCAAGATGCTCGATCACTGCGCCGTGCAGCACGCCCCTCTGCTGGGCTATCTGAACGAGATGTTGATTGTGGCCGCTGCACTGTACAATCTGCAGCAGCAGTAGACGCAGCTGTAGTGCTGCAGACGCTCAAACACTGAGCGAGATGCTGATTCATTGCGGCTGCAGCATGGTTTTATCTGCAGCAGCGGTTGGAGTAGCTATAGCAAATATTTAGCTTAAATTTAAACCAACACCTGTTTTAAGGTTGTTACACGCCCAATTATGTACACAAATTGTTAACAATACAAAGTGAATTTTTTACACTGAAACATGTCTGAGAGTAACACTTGATGTTCTCACAGCGATTTGAAATCGCTGACCCTTAGCCGCTAGACAATCGCAGATATGTGTAACGAGTTTGTATTTTGTTTTCATAACATTTCATGTCTTTTGTATTTTAGATTTGCATGGCTTATTCTACAAGTTAACTGAAATGCCTGACGGCCTGCTTTTAACCACTTGCTTTAAATCTATTTGTGCAGCTGTTTGACGCTTCGTTTGCTCGCCACCTTTGCCAATCGCTCGTGTCAATAGCCTTACCAGTTGATAAACTTAAAATAATTAATATCGCATAGTAAAAATAGTAAAGAATTAATAAGTATAAATTTAAGTATAAATTTATTATTGAGACATTTAAAAGGTTCATCCTAAGAAAACTTAGCCCGAAAAAAAAAAATAACTGTGCTTTGAGTTTTCTCCAAGTGTATTATGTGTATATAATACAATATGTATATATGTATTTATATATTGAAGATTTCGCATGATTTTTAGTCTTAGTCTTAATGAAATATTTTTTCAGAATTTACTTTATGATATAATTCCCATATCTACTTAAGATTCCGCATGATTTTTAGTCTTAGTCCTCGATTCTAAACTAATGACAGCTGTTTATCTGGCGACTTAAAGGCATTTTCAGTTTGGCGACAGCAAAGCTGATGATTCATTTTAGCTAAAAATAGTTGTAAAGTTCGTATATCATAAATCAAACTCGTGTCAGAATAAGCTATCATTCTATTTGCATCATATATATTGCTAACTATGGGAATTTTTATATTTCTATATATAATTCAAATTATGGGAATTTTAAGATAAGCAGCGATAATGAAAAAAGAAGAGAATTGGGGAATTTCTAAATTAGCAAAATAATTGGAAATTTCCATATCATTGTTATTTGACCTTTTTCTGTTTGTTTCGATGTAAGGCAATATACATATATATATTGCTCTATAAATTTTAACATTTCTGAATCAAATATATATTTGTCATATTATATATTATTCAAAATGAATTCTTTATTAAATTAGAGAATGAATGAACATGAGAATGAAGTTCTAGACGTTGTCACACATTCAACACCGTTCCATAATGTGGGTTTATATGTTACTAACCAACTAAATCACTCTGTTACCAAAGAGAAGTAAGAAATATTTCTTTTTTGTATTATTTTCCTTTATTCACGGTATAAAGATTACATAAGTAAGCTAAATACATATATATAGTAAATATATGATAAAATAGATTTAACGAACGTTTCCAATGAACTAGCCGCAAATGCAAAGCAAAATCTTATTATATATATATGTAGTATAATTATCAAAAAAAAGAACAAAGTATGAGCAAAAATTATGCAATTTTTTAACATATTTGTTTCTTTGTCTTGGGAATGTATTCGGGGGGTTTGAAATCTTTACTTCATACCTAGGCGCAATGTCAAATAGCTTTTTATATTATTCTCGTATTTCGTTTTGGATCTCAATGGGTTTTGTCTACGGGCCTGGAGTGGTTTGAGCTATTTAGCTTAGGCTAAATTTAATAATTAAAAGCTTGCTTAATTCATAAGTGACTTTTGCATACTAAAATACACTGTAGTTAGGTTTATCATCATCAAGTATTACAAAGTATATTATGCCTGCCGCAGCTAAAGAAAGATATGCCACAGCATGTGGGCAATATATGTATATATATATATATGGTATATATATGATATGGATCTGCCAGCCATTTAATAATAGTCGAACCTTATCGTTTGTGCGCTTCGTGTAAAATAATAACAAGTACGGTGTTTCGAATGCTGGGTGCATGCTATATGGTCTGGATTCTGGGCATCTCAGAGCTTTTGTATAATTTCGAATTTCTTTTTCAGATCGACGCTCTCGTTCTTGGGATCGTACTTCTTCCTGGAGGCCAGCTTGGCGCGCATTTCGGCAACGGTCAGCGGCAAATTCAAACTGCCGGCACGATTCGTGCCTGTCGCTGGCGTTGTGGGCATGGCGCTGCCATTGCCATTGCCCATGACATTTGTGGTGCCATTGGTGGTGGTGCTGGTGGTGTTGTTGGTGGTGGTGGTGCTGCTGCTGTAGACGCTGCCATTGTTGTTCATGCTGGCCACCGTGGCTGATGGCGGTGGCGGAGTGCTCATCATTTTGCTGTTGTTGTTGTTGTTGTTGCTGCTGCTGATGCTGTTGTTGTTGTTGTTGCTTGGCGATTTGCTGCCATTCTGCGCTGAGACTGGGGCGACACCAACAACCGGCGCTGGCGCCATGGGCACACCCCTGTCAACCACATCCATGTCGCTGGCATTCATTGTGCTGCCGCTCTGAGTGCTGCTCGCATTGGAGACGCGCTTCATGCTGGTCACACTGATGCTGCTGATGTTGGCGCTGGCGCCGGGCAGCTCCTGCTTGGTACCCTCATAGCTGGGCGGACTGCAATTATTAGTAGCATTGCCATTGGTCGCCGGCGTCGGCGATGTTGATTTCGGTGGCATTTCGTTCGCCTTGCCATCCACATCGATCAGCAGCAGTCGCACCTCGTTGGCAATGGCCTTGATGCGCGCCACCACCTGCTTGTGTGTCTCGCTGCCAATGGAGACGCCGTTCACCTCCAGGATGCGATCGCCCTCCTTCAGGCCAGCTGCCTCGGCTGGCGAATTCTCGTCCACCTTGCCAATGAACTGGCCCGGCTTCACCTTCTCCGAGTGCAGATTGAAGCCATAGCCATCAAAATCCGGCCGCTTCACGATGTGACAGACTTTCGTCACGCCCGGCGGCAGTGTGGGCGGTGTGGGCGTTTTGGGCGTGGTTGGCGTGGACATGACTGCAAGTGGAATGGAATATATACCAAGAAATTAGATTAAATGTTTAATTGTATACAATAAATGAAAGACTAAATAAAGACTTGAATTACTACACAAACAACTATATTATATTTATAAATTATTTACTGTTGGTTCTGCCTAATCCACGTTCGCTTTAATCTCTCAAGTTGCTACAAATGAAGCAATTCAATAGCAATGACTCAATTTGATACTCCAAACACTTGACGACTCGTGGCTCTATATGAGCTCTATGATATAAGCTCGTTTCAATTGACTCGCCTCAGCTTGCTTTATTCTGCTTATTTTTTTCTGAACTAGAAGCATGTTTCTCTCTAATTAAAATTTTATTGTGATGAAAGGTAAAGAAATTCTATATTATTTATGGCTCCAATAAACAGCTGAGAGAATATTCTCAGAGTAATTTGTAAGGCTTTGTGGTATTAACCGCCTTTGACTTATCTTTCGCGCATGTACAGACTTGGAATTATGCACTGAACGTGTTTAGGCCAGTTTAATTCAATTGACCCATTGATGAATTCGTAACATGGCCAAAAGCCAACAGCTGCAGTTCTTGCTTATCTGCTCAAGAATTGCCTTTGTTACTCTTTTGCTAAATATATTGAAGACTTCTGCTATTTTTGTTTTCAAGTAAACCAAATAGGAATTCCACTGACATGTGCTCATGGGTCAGAATACCCATTGTATTGTTGGGGGCTCTTATCGTGGGCGTTACGTCAGGTAACGTGATTTGCGGCATATATTTGGCACTTCCATTCGTTGCCGTTAAGTACAGGTAATACCATGAGTTGCCACAATGCAACTAAATAGGCTGTGGAACAACTATTCAATTGATTATTGAGCTTACCTACGCGCATATTTCACCTGTCAAAAAAGGTTCTGTTATGTTTGGCCAACAATTGCTGTCAACTTGAAAGTCATGTAAATACATTTTTGTTTCAATATATTATATTTATAGAATTATTTATTCAATGAGACTTGAGAATTAGGAAGTTAAATAATAATTAAGAAATATATATAAATAATCTGTTTCCTTAAATAGAGAAAAATATTTTATTATATTTTATATGTTTTAATTTAATTAATTAATAATATTTATATATATTTTATATATTTATTTATTATTATTATTATTATTTTTATTTATTTATTTATTTCTTTTATTTATTTATTTTATTTTTAATTTTTTTTTTTTAATTTTATTTATTTATTTATTTATTTTTTTTTTATTTTTTTTTACGAATATAATATATCAAATTTGTTATACTTACATTTGATATATTATTCATTATTACATTTAATTTACCCAACACTAAAGTAAAGTGGATTTAGCTAGAAGAGCTTCATTATAAATATCTGATTAGATGATTCGATTTGCATCTTGTTAGCTAACACAAATTAAATTGAAGCGAATTCTTCCAGCGAACAGTCTAATAATAACTTTTAATGTTTTTCATTTATTCAAAAGTTTCAGAACTTTTTAACAGCATAATAAAGTTCTGAGAATCGTTAAGCTCGACTTAGCTAGACTTCAGAATAAAAGCAGCGTTTGGCTGAGAAGGAAATTCCTTTAATGGATGTATATACATACATATATATATATGATTAGTAAGGAGAGTAAAGAGTGTGGATTAAGGAGAGTTTTAAGAGCTGTCTATATATACATAAGTATATACATAGACAGCTCAAAAAGCTCTACATACTCTCTACCCTCTCTTCTGTATTTCATTTCGCTCTCTCTAAGCCTCAACTCATAATAGATCATATATATGCTGCCGTTGCTTTCCGCGTATCAATTATCTGATTGCAATTATATATATTTGTTTTTTATTAATATATGTTTCTATTTACTTTTTTGCTGCTGCTTGTGACGTTTTTGCGAGATGTCAGTTCCGCTTCCTAAAACAACGAACAGTACTAAAAACCCACATACGTACATAATAATATACTATGTACAATTGCTATTATTATTATTATTATTATTGGTATTATTTTTGGCTTGATTCTCCCGCTATTCGTTGCTCATTTCGCTTCATTGTTTACCTTTGCTGTAGTATTAAAAATCGCTTACTAGAGAGGGGCTGAGAGGGGGGCGCGTTGTATTTGATTGTCTGGCTGGCAAGTCAAGGTCGTCTATTGAGCGCATCTTAAAACTTGAACAACAGAATTTGTATATAATGAATTCAGCAAGCAGCATGAGAAGGCGTCGCAGGGGTGCAAGGGGGCGGGTCGCCATTCAACAGAACCGATCAGAAAAAGCAAATGTTAATTCACAGGGCTTCAATTACGAGTTTTTACCTGCCCGCCCGTTGCGTAGCCATAAATCTTACAGGCATTTGCTTCCCAAAGCTGATTCACAGACAACAAATAAATGATTATGTATAAAAATATGTTTATTCAGTTTCCCCTCATCTTCTTCTTCTTCTTAGTTGGTTGTTTTATAATTGAACTTCAAGCGTAAATAAATATAAAGGAAGTGCCGCAACGAAATACCAGCTGCGAGAGCTGTTCTCTTGACATTTTGGGCTTGTACCTGTTCAACCGTAAGTTCAGGGTCATTGGAGTTCTAAAAGGCTTTGAAGTTAATGCGCGATGCACGCAACAAAAAATTGTTGCCTTCATAATAAATATCTAAGAATATTCAAATGTATGTGAAAAGCCTGCGATGAAATGTTTTAAGCTGATTTAAGATAACTCAAGCAGATTTGTGCGAATGCTTTAGATGAATTAATTGGCTAGAATATTTTTCGAAGAAATTAAGATAAGATAATACTGCGAAATATATAATAATTCCTAATTATAAATAATATATAGAAATGAATTAATATACGATAATACGAAGTATATACTAAGGAATATTATAAAGAATATATAGTATAATATATAATATAGTATTAAAGAGTTTTAATAGGATAATACAATAACTTCAATAGAATTGAATTGGTTTGAAAATAAATATTTAGTATCACAAAAATACATTTTTAGTATTTAAAAAATACTTGATAGCTACAAAATATTCATAAATACATACATACATATATGCCAATATATATCATGAATATATGCTTATTAATTTAGCATTTAAATTATGCATAAATTTGAATATAATAGTAAATAAACATAGATTATCAGAGCTATAATGAAATATTTTAATTGTATATTATAAATGGCGAAAATAAAACTTCATTAAGTCTTATATTGCTAAGAAGCTTAAAAACATTTTAAATATTGCTAATAAATAATGATTTCTTTTATTAATTATTATATTTATATATAGATGTACATATATTTATATGCACATATTAACAATTTTCAACTAATTGACATGAAAAACAATTTAGTAAACAAATGCCAAATATGTTGTATAAAATGTGCATTTTAATAATAGTTTTTGTTGCTAATGTTGAATAGACAAGAGACTGTCAAAAGAGTTTACTTGATGGTTTTATATACAATATATATATTATTCATAATTTTGTGGGCAAAATTCAGAATTCTGCTGGACAGCGCTCAAGCTTTTAGGGCTTTTTCAATCAAGCCCCCCTCAGCCCCCCACCAGGGTTGAGGAAATGTGCGCAAAACTTTAATTGAATTTGCAATCAAGCATGAAGTACATACACACACATTCATAAATGCACACAATGGAGAAATATGCCCCACTTCCTCCGCCCCTTTGCCTGCCCACGTCTTTGGAGCACAGTGAATACCCGCATGAACGGCTACGGGCGACAACAGCCTCCCATTGTATTTGTTGTTTGTTTATTTAAGCGGTTTCTCATCATTAAAACAAATTAGCCGTTAGGCATCAGCACAGGTAGTAGCACAGGTAGTTTGTCAGTCTGTCTGTCCACCTGTCCGCCCCAATGTCCGATTCTATATCCGTCTACATCTACTCACCACTCTGAGCGCACATGACAAATGTGCTTAAAAAAAAACAGAGACATTTGATTGCCGTTAAAAACTATTGTTGGAAATATTTAAACACCGTTCGCAAAAGTTTCAAGTGGGGTATATACTACTGTAAGCACCGTGACTCGAAAGTTCTTGGTATGAAGAGGGAGAGGGGGAGAGAGAGAGAGTTCCCAGCGAAATATTTTGGAATTCAAAGTCTGACTCGAATCTAGCAGAGTTAATGAGAAATGTAGGGCTCTTTATCAATAGTGATGTAACTTTTTATTATGCTGGAAACTTTCGATTGTAATTTCGTTATCGGTTTTATTATATTTTCCTTTGCGTAATTTTCGTCATGCCCTGCGTCTGGCTGAATGTAATTCATTACGCCGTCATTACAGCCATAGAGTGGGTATTCGAAGTATAGACACATAAGCTGGAGTCTTGAAATTTTGAATACATATTTGCATATACTTTCTGCAGAAATGAATTTGAAGATTGTTAGCATATAACTATACTTTAACATATAATATATGTCATCTTTAAACGAGAATCTTTTAAGTAAAAATATTACATAAATAAACCATAATATAATTTCTATAAATTTTAATAATCTTCAAGTTATATTAGTAATAGATCATCAACAATTAACATAAGATAAATATTTATTTTAAAGTAAATTTAGTTTTTCTGGATCCTTAAACGAGTATCGTGCAGTCAGTAAGGTCTAGCCATAACGTTCTTACTTGTTTTCTTGGCGATTTTAGCGGACGTGTTGCACAATTAAACGGAAACTCGTAATGCGAGAATGGCTCGCAACATATTTGCAAATATATAGTTTATGCACACACAATATACATACATACAATATTTGTATAGCAGCGTCAAATCATAATTTGCATTTATTTGGTGTTTTTGAGAAATACTTTTTGTTAGCTCGCAAATTAATTAGCTCGCTCGTGTCGCGCGCTACTTTAAATCAAATATTAGCACGTTCTCAAAAGCCTCATGCAAATTGAAACTGATAAGCGAGCTATAATAAAGGAAGTGCCGCCCAAGCCCCGCAGGGCAGCACACTGGAATTTATTAT